CACCATCATCATCATCATCACCATCATCACCATCACCATCACCATCACCATCACCATCACCATCATCATCACCATCACATCATCATCATCATCACCATCACCATCACCATCATCATCATCACCATCACCATCACCATCACCATCATCATCATCATCATCATCACCATCACCATCACCATCACCATCACCATCACCATCATCATCATCATCATCATCACCATCACCATCACCATCACTACCATCTCCAAGCTGTTCAGCAGGTGATGGCGCAGTCGAAGAAGCTGCAGCTGCATATCTCAAGGCGCGGCCACGGGGTCGGACTGGCCTGAGTGTCGAGTGACTGATGGGATAACGGCGATAGGGAAAGAACGTCTATAGACCAAGTCGACTCCATGCAAATGCATCCAGCCAGTCTCAAGTATCTTTAATTGCCTTCGGCAACTTCCCCCGTCCATACCAGGTGGGCGATGTATTGGTGTCAAAGTTGGTTGGAGTGTAACAGCGGGTGTTGGCTAAGAGCTAAGTCGTTGACGCAAAATCTGCAGTGGTGTAGAAACTTCTTGTGTGAAAACTAGTAGGTGTAAGTAGTGCTTGGTGTCGGACCTGATGTGGGTAGAGTACGGTAGATTGGATTGCGTCAGTATTCTTTAGAAATCCGTGCAACTTGAAGAATGTGATTTTTTTCACGAAGAGGGTAGGTAGGTTTTCAATGGTTTTCAGTCGAAAATGGACGAATACAATGTACAATGTGTTGTTCAAAATTAACATTTTGTTTGCCAGGTTTCCAAACCTTAGCTACATGGAAACCCACGGCTGTGTTGCGACTGTTAGTGTAGCGAGAACATGTGATAACATCCAACAGTGATTGGAACGATTCCATACTTATACGGGTTTCCTTGGATTTCATGTTTGACATTATTGAGATGAGAATTTAAAGAGAGTGTTTTTCGACAAGGAAACGGAAAAACAGAGACACACTACTCAAGAAACCTAACTCTTCAGCTCACGGCCTGATGCACAATCACTGATTTGCATTTGAAATATGTACATAAATTGGTTCCCAGTTCCCAATGGCTTTGGTTCCCATCTCTTGCTGGCTACTCCCTAAAGAGGCCATGGACGACATCTTGGTGGCCGACCTCAGTGGCGCTGCCACGACTGCCACGGCCGTGAGGCGCAAGCCAGCCATGCATCGGTGGTTGTGGTGGAATGGTGTGATTTTGCTGTTGTCATTTCAAAAAAGATCAATCGATATCAAGTATTCTATTACAAAAAAATACAACATACTAACTATGTAAAACAACTGTGTTATGTCCGCACTGACCAAACAATATTTGGATCAAGTATCAGCCAACATTTGCAGACAAATTCATATGGCTATGGATCAATACCTATAAATACAATTTTTAGTGGGATGAACATCCATTTACGAGCTATTTTGATGTTCACCAGGGGTACATGGTTTTGACACACAACAAGGAAGGTCCCACCGGGGGCCCCTTCCTCTCCAGGGTGCCTGGAGACGATGATCCCACCGATTCAGCACAGGTGCGCTCAGAATTTGAATTCCTGCGTTACCTGTTGTTTCGGTGATCTTCTAGTAAGTATCATATAGTATCATTGCATTTCAAAACTAGTTTTTTTTTTGAAGATTCTCATACTTCTAGCCACCACATTTTCCCAGAGTTCCCAGTTATCCCCACTTGTATCAGCAGTTGAAGGATTTCGAAGGCACAGTCGGGCACAGTCCCCACCACAGCCAGAGGCCTGCCTTGGAGTGGTGCGTGGCTGCCCTGTGGATGGAGAGCCAATGAGATACAGGTTCTGCTCGGAATTGTGGGCAAATGGGGATCATATCACTGATGGTTGCTGGGGTTTGGTAGTTTCCAACATGTTTGATAATTTTTGGATGGCCTTTATTCTCATTACTTCTCATTTCTTTGGGATATACACTACATCGCAGTTGACGTCAAATTTGGGCATGGCTTGAAACCGGCAGATACAGAGAGGACTGAGGATGTATCACACTCCCACCTCACCCGTTGATGCATTCCTTGAGGCAGGTTTGTTCCACTGATTCTGGGAATGATGCTGCGCACTCGAGAATCATTCCTCCGCTATGTTGTTGTGTCTCAGCGGTCCTCGTTTAAAAATCGACCAATTGGGGCCTGTTGGTTTGCCAAAGTTCGAAACTTACCGGCTTACCCATGTCGATTCCTGTCTATGAACATGTATTCTTTAGATGTTTTTTACTTGCTCATCGAGCCGACAGGCGCTGTGACTTCGTCTTTTGCCGTCACAACTCCTTGCCCTTTGTCACCTTGCAGTGGACGGGTAGCAGCTTGGTCAATCAACCTGGGTGCCAGCAGTAGTGCGAGTTGATGGCGTTTCAAGTCTGGGACATACTTGCCGATTTTCAGTGAAGACATGATACAAAGCCAAAGTAGGCGTGTGCGGGAAAACCATTTGCTTCTCTCTGTTTGGGGCTCAGAACTCCTCTCCTTTTTCGCTACAAAGATTTTTTCCCGATGGCCTCTAAATACCCCTTTTATACATGGAGCTGCTTTCCCCCTACTATATATTGCAGATCCATTCCTATTTCTATCTACATGGGTTACATAGGGACGGGCCCCATACGTCGGCGCGTCTTTTTTCCCCATCACCGAGGTGATGGAGGCCTCTTCAACAGGCATGCTGAAACCATCCTGAGTGAGTTGACACGAACAACCAACAAAGGCCACACTGATATATTTCGATGCTGCTGAGATAAGCTTACCAAAATGAAGTCTAAACCTTTGGTGGGTTGAGTGATGTTGAATGTGTATGAATGTGTCCTGTGCGGCGTGTAAAAACCACAATCCACCTGTCAGGGAAATCAAGCGAATTGCTGCCCTGCGCGGGTTCCATCTGTCCCACACTTACATGTGCAAGGCAGGACATGGGATGGAGATGAGGGTGTAGCTAGATTTTTTTTCCCCCTAGTGGTGTAAACTTCGAAATGGCCGGAGTTGTAAATGACTGGGTCTTTTTTGCTCCAAAGTCCACAGCTTTGAGAATGTTGGATTAAAATTAGATCTTTTTAGCCTTTTAGTAAGATCATGGAGGTGTTTCAGATTGCGCTTGGGGCCCTCTTCGACATATGCAGAATGCTTTTCATTTCTTGAAGGTTCCGAACAACCATGCAGAATGTTGGTGTCCCTGAAGAAACCTCAAACCTCACCTTTCCCTGCGAGGCCGATCGCGAGGGAACACGTGGGCGGCAGGTGTAGTTGCCCGCCTTTTGTGTCGAGTTAAATGTATTCAAAGTATAGATTGCTTATTGGTTATAGTCAGTTATAGTTATGATTAGTTGATGCAACACGGATCCAATGCCTTTTGTTTGACATGACCAAGTCAAACATTTGTGCTGAGATTTGGTAAGGATTCATGGATCCAGGATCCCTGGAAGTTGCCGGCAGGTTGGTGAAGTCTGCCGCGCCGGAGCCAAGATCTTCTGCGAAGACGAGCGTGCAATCTTTGCTGCAATCGGTTTGCCCTACAGGCCTGGGGCTCAATCCTAACCTCGATGTCACTTGCAGGTTTGTTTTTCTTAGAAACAATTTACTTAGTTATTGTATATGATACATAATTATACACATATATATATACACATAGATACATACATAGATATAGGTCATACAATCATTACTATATCATCACCCCTTTAAGAATTCTTGTTTGTTCACATTTATCTTCATATGTACTTGATCAGTGATGGCTGTAGGATGCCGCATATGGGTCAAAACTCAAGACCTTTTGTCGCCCACCATATGCTTTTTGACAGTCAATCTTTGACCTAAATGAAAGCACCGTTTTGATGACAGGTAAACTCTCCGAGTTTGCTGATAAACTCCCCGAATTTGCCGGTAGAAATCCAGATTCTTGCTGGTAAAACCATGGATTTTGACTGGTTAAATAGTTCAATCAAACAGTTTGATAGTTGAACTCCCATATTTTTGGATTCATCAAATTCCAAGGATTTGCTTGGCGAAACCCAATACGTTTGCCCACCCCAGTGAGGCCACCGGAGCGGCGGGAGGTGGATGCGGAGTTACTGAGACTGGTAGAAGAAGCTGCCAAAGAGGCGCCGGAGGCGCGGGGGGTGGTAGAAAGGGATGGAAACCAGGAAGAAATAGGTTGTTGTCAAAAGACCAATGATGAATGGGGATATCACCAAGAGATCGGGTTTTGACCGATAGTGCTTGCAAGGTTGGTCTTTGAAACAAGAATGAATTGGGCATAGTGAACACATTCTTGAGGCTGTAAAGTGATAAAATTGCGACGTGCACAATACACAGGCTTTGGCCACTCTGGGCAGACAATCCGATAATCTACGGGGCGCTCAATTTCACCCCCTGCCGATCCGCGAGTTTGTTGACATTGTGAAGGAGTTTCATCATACCCTGCTTTCCAAGTCAAACATGCCAATTTTGGCCTGAAAGAGAAGCAACCATTGGTTTATGACATTGCTGTGTATGTTCTGGTATGCTGGCACTGGTGGCTGGAAATATTGGGCCATGATAGATATCATCAACAAGACTCCAAGATTTATGGCCTTGTGTGAAATTGCTGCCCCTTGTTTGGCCAGAGTGTTTTCTTCGGAAGGAATAAACTTTCAGGTTTCGTTGCAACTTTGCGATTCTACTCCAAACTTTCCTCACCTTGAATCCCTCTGAATGCCACCCACCAAACTTGTTGGAACTCCAGCGGAATATGGGTCAACGTTGGGTACCCCTTAAAAGCGACTCGTCATGAGGCGCTGCGGATGGTCAAGATGGAGTTTCAAGGGTCTGACCTCCGGCCCTGCGCCAGCAGCGTGTCATGAAGCCCTCGGGGGATATTGTGAGTTTAAACGTTGGAGAGGATAGGAATATTGTTAACGTTCTGAAATAAGGCACATAGTTGAACATAGTTACAGGAAAATGTTACTATACTCATCTATATTTGGGAGCGGTGCAAGCGGTGTTCACCAGGGCCCAACTCGACGAACTTCTGTTGATTTTGGTTTCACTCCCGTTTCACTCACTGTGTACAGCATTGATGCCAAACTTCGGCCATCAACCGTTTGGTGCTCGACAGGCTCATACAGCAGCATTTCTGTACATTTCCGGGGTTCAATCGCAATGTGGCAGGGCGAACTTGGAACCACCTGTTGGCCCCAAGGGTCCAAGGGTGGAGAACCTCACTGTATTGAACTTTCATATTGTGAGGACATGTTCTTAGCTGAATTCTGTTGGATGAAGCAAGGCTCTGCAGCAAGGCCAACGTTTCGAGCTGCCCCCGGAATGGTTGAGCTCCTTTCAGCTGCACACGGTCGTGTTTTTTGGAGGAGCTACAGGAGTTGTTCGAGAAGTCTCCCAGCGCAGAGAAACTGAAGTCCATCAAACCGGATGTGAACAGCACTGCCGGGCAGCCAGTTGCCATGGGCCACCTCTTTTTGGCGCGACGGGGCAGCAAGGGGTGCAATTTCTCCAAAGCCATAGGGCCTTATCAACATCAACTGATTCCGTCTTTTGTTTTTGATTTCCTCAGGAAAGCACTCGTTGCGCAGATTTTCCAAGGCCTTTGTCACTTTTGAAGATGACAGCGCTGCGCAAGACGCGGCCCTTTGGTTGAGGCATCACGACTGGAACGTGGGTCTGGCCGCCCTTAGGTTGGAAGTTTACTATCTTCAAGGTGAAACGGCTAATTACTGGGTAAGCATCAGATGAGTTTTCCCGACGTTCTGGACCCCCTGATGAAGTCACAGGGGCCCCGTTTGCAAAAAGAAAACCAACGGTTGGGTCTTGGATTTCAGGTGCAAATCCAGTCAGCCCGAACAGGTCACAGAAACTTCGTGGAGCCAGTGTGAAGTGTTCCATGAAGTCGCGGTCTCAAGAGATTTTCATCGCTGTGGTGCTTGTATTCCTAGTTGTGCCATTCGGATTGGGTCCATGTCGCCATTTATGATACAGCTGCCAGAATAGATTGGCCTAATATGTATGAACACATATGTCACATATGTTTATATTATACTATATATCATTATTAATTATACTTTATTCTTCCTGCACTCCTTCTTTCAGTGCACTTTCTCATTCCCCTGAGGTCGGAGCAGTTTCTGAGAAGTTTCTTCCCGATGAAGCCGGTGCCCAATTTTCAAACCTATGGCCTGGGTCCCAGTGAAACGCCTCAGTCCTTGTCGCGTTGGCCCTGGCGCGGCATCACTTTGGCACCAAGCAGGGACCCATGACATGAACGACTGCAATACAGGGTATTGCCAACCGGTTCACACATTGAATCAGACAGTGGTGGAACTCAGGTGTACCAGCCTGGGCTGCCGCCTGGACTGGTCAATGGGTTTTGGGCCTCAGAGAAATCCCCAGTTATGGGAAAGGACTATGGGGTGTGGCTGTGTTGGGCGAACGAGTTGGGGGAATGCAGGACGAGATGAGAAGGACAGCACGTTTGATCAACAAGAAGAATAAGAATGAATAAGAGGGTTTCACATTGTTGATCAAAAGTTGATCATATTTGATATACCCTCTGGTTATGACTAACATAGCCATGGTATAGATGGCCCATTTATAGATGGTTTACCTATTAAAAATGGTGATTTTCCATGGCTATGTTAGTCATAACCAGATGGTAGATTCCCAAGCTGGCACTGCTAACAGCTGCTACCGTTTTTTTCCCGGTGGATCTGCAGAGGCGTCCTGGCAGCCGCAAGCAGATGGCAAGGAGATGGTGTCAGATCGCCGATGTCCGATGTGCCAGCTTAGTCACCATCGAACGTAAATAACAAACAAGTATAGACCAGTTGTGGATGTTGGTTGTGGATGTTTGGTTGGCTTTCTTGTTGAGTGCATCAACATATATCAACATTCAACCAACTGGTACTTTCTTTCCCCAGAAAAGGTGACATGTCGTGCCGTCTACTAGGGCCACCCTGTCAGGATGGCAAGGGTACCCAGAAGGGTGGCTTCAAAGGAGGCCAGGGTGTTGTGGCTCACCGGATCAAAATGAACCGAAGGGCTGAGGCAGCGCCAATGATTTGCAGTTAGATGCGTATTGTACACATACAGTGTATATAGTTTCATTTAAACATGCATTTTGATGCATTTTGCAGCTGTTCCTTCGAAAAAAACACAGATTTCCACAAAAAGATGTGGAGTCAGAGCCCTCAAATCTGTTTGGCCCATCAAGAAACTCTTCGAAGCCAGGCGAGGGCATGGGGCCGTCGCCCCATGGGCCTCCGATGACCAAGGTGGAGGGGGTTTGGCTGCAGATGCATCAAACAGATCTCAACAATCCCACCCCCTTAAGGGCTGTCGCCCAGCTGCCATCGACCCCAGGAACAGGTTAAGCTGTTAGGCATAGAAAGCTAGTGGAGGCACACCCTTGGCAGAATGATACGCGATTGGGCGGCCACAGACAAACAAAAAATCAGGCCAGTTTAGCTAACAAATGTACCTACTGGTATATTGGCCCCGAAACACTGTTTCGCAGTAGCGTTCTGCGCTTGTGAGAATATAATAAGGACGGGCATCCGAAGGATGGATTGCACGCCAAAATGAAAGGAACACAATGCAAACTCCGTGCCAATGGAAATTTGAATGTCCGAATCATGGATTTCGTTCTGATTGTAATACAAACTATGCTGAAACCATTTCCGCTTGCAACGGCGTCATTTTTTGTCGGAACCAGGCATTTTTTTTGTCGGGGTAGGGTACGTTTCTGTCATGGAACTAAAATTCAATTTTTGTTGTGGTTAGGGCGGCGTCTCCCAGCGTGTGTATGTGTTCGGGCGTTTCCGGGACGTTTGTTAAAATCTAGAGACCCTCATGTGGAAAATGGGGAACGAGTGTGCCGGTTTCTGGAACTTGTTTGCAGCAAAACGGCATTTGTTTTTGACGTTTTGCCGCTGCTTCAGGCTGGCCTGGCGGATGTTAAGTCCCTTCAATGGTGGCCCAAACGAATCGATCCACAGCAGCCTAAGGATTCCAAGCGGATATTGAATATCGCGAAGGAATTATTCGCAATTGATGTGGATGGCAGATGGTAATATTGTTGGATATTGTTGGAATGCGTGACACGTATGGCATGCAACGAATGGCCCACGTCCTGCCACCCTTTTCCCTCCAGCAATCGCCTGTCAGGGAAAAGGCAAGAGCCAAGGCAGCCACCGGGGTGTCTGACATTTTGCATTGGCATTTGATCATGTTACATAGTGCGTGTGCGTCCATCATTTGTATCCCAGACTAGTATAGACGCAATTCCTCACAGTACAAACTTTGGACTGAAGTCAAAACAACACATCGTCTCAAGCAACTCAATGGTGTTGAAATGGGTTATGTTGATATAGAGAACATATTTGGAAACCAGTTCAAAACCAATTCAATCTGCTGTGTTTTTTTAAGGCCCCCTAAAAATTGGAGCTGCCCAAGTCATAATCTTCAGTAGCACATACAGTAGTCGCAGGTTGGTGGGGCAAAGGCATGGAGGGCAAAGGGCACAAAGGAGGCGCTTCAACTCAGAAATTCATGCTGAACATGACACAACCCGGACGTTTTTGAACGTTTTAAACCGGGTTTGGATTTAGAATTTAGAATGTCGATCCTCAGACCCCCAAGTGATCCTCAAAAAAGTGGATATTTGCCAAGGTGAGATGATGTCACCTACAGCGCTTGCCGGTGAAGGGGTGGCAAGCTCAGCTCTGATGAAACCAGTTGGTTTCCCAGAGTCATGTGTTTGCCGGCCCGACTCTCGGGCCGGCTGGAGCAAAACACGGTGGTTTTTGGTGATACCCTCTGGTTATTTAACATAGCCATGGAAAATTGCCCATTTATAGATTTTATAGATGGTTTACGGTTTACCTATTAAAAATGGTGATTTTCCATGGCTATGTTAAATAACCAGATGGTAAACTTTGCCCTCACCAGGCATTTCAAGGAGAGACCACCAATGAGCAGGTGCGACGACTGCTTGCCGCAGGATCCAAGACTTTGATTCCAATGTACAGATAGCTATTCCAGGCAGGGAGGTTTCCAAGCAAAGGTTCCAAGTGACTACATGCGCAGTGGTCTCACAATGTCTCACATAGATTTATTGTATTGCACCACACCTGCTTTTTTTGAGATTTTGGGGACCCCAAAATTGGAGAATCTATTTGTTTTAGGCGTTGTTTTAGTGTATGTTGAACATGTCCCCCAGCTTTAGCAGGTTGAGATAGAGGATGATTCCGGGTGCCCAAGGGCTGTGGACAAAAGGACAGGGTTGTTGGGTGGAGGCTACATATTGGAGGAAGCCGTTGGGGTGCATCACGTGGAAACGTTTAAGAAGTCCAACATTTTCTTTGTCTTTCTTTCCAGTGATTGAGCCTGGCAAGAACGACTAAAACTTGAATTCTTGAATAGTTGTCATATGACCACGGTTGTGGCTTCATTTGACTCCAACACTGCCTGGCCCACAACCATGTTTTCCCTCCACTTCTTGGTATCAGCGATATCGTTTTTGATCGATCTCTTCATTGGACCAACATGACTGCAGGTACAAGCACGAGTTCCGGCGCTACACTCGGCAGCAGATCATGGAGGTTGAGAACTCTGAGGGATGGTCCTGTTGTTTTTGAGGCTTTGAGATGTGCAACATGGGTATGGCACCAATGGACCCATGCGGACCCACAAAACTTGTAACTTTATTCTTAGACTCTCCAGTGTTTTGGGGTATCTAATTGATTTGGAGTCCATCACAGTCATTGCCATATGTGGGTAGCATCACCGGCAAATTTTCACTTGCAAGGATGAAGAACTGCACGGTACCAAGTTATGACCTCTGGTAGTTGTTTAGTGTGGTGGATGGGAACAGGATTAGGA